CTCAACCTGCTCCCAGGGGGACCAAAAGCCTTCATACATCTCAAGGTGGGGGAAACAAGGGGAGCCATGATGGCTGGCCATTCAACATAAACAAAAAGAGCAAGTGTTAAGGCAAAGATTTTTTAAAAAATTGGATTACATAATTTACACAGAAGCAATGCTATCACCCTCGCCTGTGTGGATTTAGGCAAGGACTGGCCCTTCTCCTAGTGAGAAGTGGGGTGGCATTGGGGAAGGCAAGGGACTTTCTGTAACATGCAGCTTATGATATTTGGAACGACGATTTAAAAAAAAAAAACAATGTAAAATCAAAGTCCTTGGCCACTTTGCAGAACTTTGGGGTGCTTGCTCCAACCTACTGCCGTCACATTTGATGTCAACATTCTCAAGGACCTCTATGAAAAAACAGTGTTGTCTGGTGGGACCACCATATACCCAGGCATTGCCAACAGGATGCAGAAGGAGGTTGCTGCCCAGGCTCCCAGCATGATGAAGATCAAGATTATTGTGCCCCCTTGAGCACAAATACTCTGTGTGGATGCGCATCTCCATCCTGGCCTCACTGTAGAACTTCTTGCATCTGTGGATCAGCAAGCAGGAGTATGAAGAGTCTGGCCCCTCCTGTGTCCACCTCAAAAGTTTCTAGGTGAACTGTTAGCTGCAATAAACCCTGTCTTGATAAAACCTAAAACACAGAAAATGAGATGAGATTGGCATGGCTTTATTTTTTGATTGTTTGTTTGTCCTATTCTATTCTGTTCCATTCTATTCTATTCTTTTCTATTCTATTCTATTCTATTCTGTTCCATTCTATTCTATTCTTTTCTATTCTATTCTATTCTACTCTATTCTATTCTTTATGGGGATTTACTCAGGATTTAAAAACTGGAACAGGGAGATCCTTTTAAAATATGGAGACCTGAGGGACCTTCAAGACAGTGGAGGAGTAAGAAGTAGAGATCACCTTCCTCTCCACAAATACAACAGAAATACATCTACATGTGGAACAACTCCTACAGAACACCTAATGAACACTGGCAGAAGATCTCAGACTTCCCAAAAGGCAAGAAACTCCCCATGTACCTGGGTAGGGCAAACGAAAAAAGAAAAAACAGAGACAAAAGAATAGGGATGAGATCTGCACCTCTGGGAGGGAGCTGTGAAGGAGGAAAGGTTTCCACACATTAGGAAGCCCCTTCACTGGCGGAGATGGGGGGGGGGGGGGGGGAGAAACTCCAGAGCCACAGAAGAGAGTGCAGAAACAGGGGTGCGGAGGGCAAGCAGAGAGATTCCCGCACAGAGGATCGGTGCCGACCAGCACTCACCAGCCTGAGAGGCTTGTCTGCTCACCCGCCGGGGCAGGCAGGGGCTGGGAGATGAGGCTCGGGCTTTGGAGTTCGGATCCCAGGGAGAGGACTGGGGTTGGCTGCGTGAACATAGCCTGAAGAGGGTTAGTGAACCACGGCTAGATGGGAGGGAGACTGGGGAAAAGTCCGGAACTGCCTAAGAGGCAAGAAACCATTGTTGCGGGGTGCGCGAGGAGAGGGGATTCAGAGCGCCGCCTAAACAAGCTCCAGAGATGGGCATGAGCCGCAGCTATCAGCGCGGACCCCAGAGACGGGCATGAGACGCTAAGGCTGCTGCTGCCACCACCAAGAACCCTGTGTGCAAGCACATGTCACTATCCACACCTCCTCTCCCAGGAGTCTGTGCAGTCCGCAACTGCCAGGGTCCTGTGATCCAGGGACAACTTCCCTGGGAGAACACACGGCAGCCTCAGGCAGGTGCAATGTATGCTGGCCTCTGCTGCCGCAGGCTCGCCCTGCACTCCGTACACCTCCCTCCTACCCCTGGCCTGAGTGAGCCAGAGCCCCCGAAGCAGCTGCTCCTTTCATTCCGTCTTGTCTGAGTGAAGAACAGATGTCCTGAGGTGGCCGACGTGCAGAGGCAGGGCCAAATCCAAAGCTGAACCCCAGGAGATGTGCTAACAAAGAAGAGAAAGGGAAATCTCTCCCTGCAGCCTAGGAGCAGCAGATTAATTGCCACAGTCAACTTGATGCACCCAGCATCTGTGGAATACCTGAATAGAAAACATATCATCCCAAAATTGAGGGGGTGGAGTTCGGGAGCAACTGTAGACTTGGGGTTTGCTTTCTGCATCTAATTATTTTCTCATTTTATGTCTATCTTAGTTGAGTATTTAGAGTTTATTATCATTGGTAGATTTGTTTATTGATTGGGTTGCTCTCTGCCTTTTTTTATAATATATATATATTTATTTTCCTTTTTCTCTTTTTCTGAGTGTGTATGTTTCTTTCTATGATTTTGTGTGTATAGCTTTGCTCTTACTACTTGTCCTACAGTTCTGTCTGTCTGTTTTTTGTGTTTTGTTTTTTTTTTCTTTTTTAGTAAAGTTTTTTGCTCTTAACATTGGTGGATTTATTTTTTGGTTTGGTTGCTCTCTTCTTTCTTTTTATTACTTTAAATTTTTATTATTTTTAATATAAATATTTTTACTTTTTGTTTTAATTATTTTATTTTTCTTTCTTTCTTTCTTTTTTTCTCCCTTTTCTTGTGATCCATGTGGCTGACAGGGTCTTGGTGCTCCAGCCAGGTGCCAGGCCTGTGCCTCTGAGGTGAGAGAGCCAAGTTCAGGACATTGGTCCACAAGAGAACTCTGGCTCAAATTAATAATGAAAACTCTCCCAGAGATCACAATCTCAACACTTAGACCTGGTCCACTCCATGACCAGCAAGATACAATGATGGACACCCTATGCCAAACAGCTAGCAAGACAGGAACACAACCCCACCCATTAGCAGAGAGGCTGTCTAAAATCATAATAAGGTCACAGACACCCCAAAAGAAACCACCGGATGCAGTCCTGCCTACCAGAAAGACAAGATCCAAACTCATCCACCAGAACACAGGCACCAGTCGCACCACCAGGAAGCCTACACAGGCAGCCTACCTGAAAAATAATTCAGAGTAATGATAGTAAAGATGATCTAAAATCTTGGAAATAGAATGGAGAAAATATAAGAAACATTTAACTAGGACCTCGAAGAACTAAAGATGAAGCAAACAATGATGAACAACACAATAAATGAATTTAAAATTTCTCTAGAAGGAATCAATAGCAGAAAAACTGAAGCAGAAGGATGGATAAGAGACCTGGAAGATAAAATAGTGGAAATAACTACCGCTGCTCAGAATAAAGAAAAAAGAATGGAGAGAATTGAGGAAAGTCTTTGAAACCTCTCAGACAACATTATGCACCAACATTCGAATTATAGGGGTTGCAGAAGAAGGCGAGAAAAAGAAAGGGTCTGAGAAAATAATTGAAGAGATTATAGTTGAAAACTTCCCTAATATGGGAAAGGAAATGGTCAATAAAGGAGAGGAAGCACAGAGAGTTCCATATAGGATAAATCCAAGGAGAAACATGCCAAGACACATATTAATCAAACTATCAAAAATTAAATACAGAGAAAAAATATTAAAAGCAGCAAGAGAAAAACAACAAAAAACATAAAAGGGAATCCTGATAAGTTAATGGCTGATTTTTCAGCAGAAACTCTGCAAGCCAGAAGAGAGTGGCAGAACATATTTAAAGTGATGAAAGGGAAAAAATTACAACCAATATTAATCTACCCAGCAAGGATCTCATTCACATTCAATGGAGGAATTAAAACATTTACAGACAAGCAAAAGTTAAGAGAATTCAGCACCACCAAAGCAGCTTTACTACAAATGCTAAACGAACTTCTCCAGGAAGGAAACACAGAGAAGGAAAAGACCTACAACAACAAACCCAAAACAATCAAGAAAATGGTAATAGGAATGTACATATCGATAATTACCTTAAATGTAAATGGATTAAATACTCCAACCAAAAGACAGAGACTGGTTGAATGGATACAAAAACAAGACCCGTATGTATGCTGTCTACAAGAGACCCACTTCAGACCTAGGGACACATACAGACAGAAAGTGAGGGAATGGAAAAAGATATTCCATGCAAATGGAAATCAGAAGAAAGCTTTGTCTCGTATCAGACAAAATAGACTTTAAAATAAAGACTATTACAAGAGACAAAGAAGGTCACTACATAATGATCAAGAGATCAATACAAGAAGAAGATAAAACAATGGTAAATATTTATGCACCCAACATAGGAGCACCTCAATACATAAGGCAAATGCTAACAGCCATAAAAGTGTAATTTGACAGAAACACAATCATTTCAGGGGACTTTAACACCCAACCTTCACCAATGGACAGATTATCCAATATGAAAATAAATAAGGAAACCAAGCTTTATAAACAAGATGGACTTAATTGATATTTATAGGACATTCCATCCAAGAAAAACACAATACACTTTCTTTTCAAGTGCTCATGGAATATTCTTGAGGATAGATCATATCTTGGTCACAAATCAAACCGTGGTAAATTTAAGAAAATTGAAATTGTATCAACTATCTTTTCTGAGCAAAACATTATAAGACTAGATATCAATTATAGGAACAAAGCTGTAAAAAATACAAGCACATGGAGGATAAACAATACACTACTAAAGAACCAAGAGATCACTGAAGAAATCAAAGAGAGAGTCAAGAAGTACCTAGGAAAAAATGTCAATTAAAACATGATGACGGAAAACCTATCAGATCCAGCAAAAGCAGTTCTAAGAGGGAAGTTTATAGTAATACAATCCTACATCAAGAAACAAGAAACATCTCAAATAAACAACCTAACCTTACACCTAAAGCAATTAGAGAAAGAAGAACAAAAAACCCCGAAGTTAGCTGAAGAAAAGAAATCATAAATATCAGATCAGAAATAAATGAAAAAGAAATGAAGGAAACAATAACAAAGATCAATAAAACTAAAAGCTGGTTCTTTGAAATGATAAACAAAATTGGTAAACCATTAGCCAGACTCATCAAGAAAAAAAGGGACAAGAATCAAATCAATAGAATTAGAAATGAGAAAGGAGAAGTAACAACTGACACTGCATAAATACAAAGGATCATGTGAGATTACTACAATCAAATATATGCCAATAAAATGGACCACCTGGAAGAAATGGACAAATTCTTAGAAAGGCACAACAGTCCAAGACTGAACTAGGAAGAAATAGAAAATATAAACAGACCAATCACAAGAACTGTGATTAAAAATCTTCCAACATGCCCAAACCCAGGACCAGATGGCTTCACAGGTGAATTCTATCAAACATTTAGAGAAGAGCTAACATCTACCCTTCTCAAACTCTTCAAAAATATAGCAGACGGAAGAACGCTCCCAAACTCATTCTATGAGGCCACCATCACCCTGATACCAAAACCAGTCAAAGATGTCACAAAGAAAGAATACTACAGGCCAACATCACTGATGAACATAAATGCAAAATCCTCAACATAATACTTTCAAACAGAATCCAGCAGCATATTAAGAGGATCACACACCATGATCAAGTGGGGTTTATCTCAGGAATGCAAGGATTCTTCAATATATGCAAATCAATCAATGTGAAACACTGCATTAACAAGTTGAAGTAGAAAAATCATATGATCATCTCAATAGATGCAGAAAAACCTTTTGTCAAAATTTAACACCCATTTATGATAAAAACCCTCCAGAAAGTAGGTATAGATAGAACTTACCTCAACATAATAAAGGCCATATATGACAAACCCACAGCCAACATCGTTCTCAATGGTGAAAAACCTTTTCCTCTAAGAGCAGGAAAAAGACACTCTCACTGCTCTTATTCAACATAGTTTTGGGAGTTTTAGCCACTGCAATCAGAGAAGAAAAAGAAATAAAAGGAATCTGAATTGGAAAAAAAGAAGTAAAGCTGTCACTGTTTGCAGATGACATGATACTATACATAGAGAATCCTAAAGATGCTACCAGAAAACTAGTAGAGCTAATCAATGAATTTAGTAAAGTAGCAGGATACAAAATTAATGCACAGAAATCTCTTGCATTCCTATACACGAATGAAGAAAAATCTGAAAGAGAAATTAAGGAAACACTCTCGTGTACCACTGCAACAGAAAGAATAAGATACCTAGGAATAAACCTACCTAAAGAGACAAAAGACCTGTATAGGGGCTTCCCTGGTGGCGCAGTGGTTGAGAGTCCGCCTGCCGAGGCAGGGGACACGGGTTTGTGCCCCAGCCTGGGAAGATCCCACATGCCACGGAGCAGCTGGGCCTGTGAGCCATGGCCTTTGGGCCTGCGTGTCCGGAGCCTGTGCTCCACAACCAGAGAGGCCACAACAGTGAGAGGCCCACGTACCGCAAAAAAAAAAAAAAAAGACCTGTATGAAGAAAACTATAAGACACTGATGAAATAAATTAAAGATGATACAAGCAGATGGAGAGATATATCATGTTCCTGGATTGGAAGAATCAACGTTGTGAAAATGACTATACTACCCAAAGCAATTTACAGATTCAATGCAATCCCTATCAAACTGCCACTGGCAATTTTCACAGAAGTAGAAAAAAAATTTCACAACTTGTATGGAAACACAAAAGACCCCGAATAGCTAAAGCAATCTTGAAAAAGAAAAACAGAGCTAGAGGAATCAGGTTCCGTGACTTCAGACTGTACTACCAAGCTACAGTAATCAAGATGGTATGATACTGACAAAAAACCAGAAAAATAGATCAATGGAAGAGGATAGAAAGCCCAGAGATAACCCATACACATATGGTCACCTTATTTTTGATAAAGGAGGTAAGAACATACAATGAAGAAAGACAGCTCCTTTAATAAGTGGAGCTGGGAAAACTGGACAGCTACATGTAAAAGAATGAAATTAGAACACTCCCTAACACCATACACAAAAATAAACTCAAAATGGATTAAAGACCTAAATGTAAGGCCAGACACTATAAAACTCTTAGAGGAAAATATAGGCAGAACACAATGACATAAATCACAGCAAGATCCTTTTTGACCCACCTCCTAGAGAAATGGAAATAAAAACTAAAAGCAACAAATGGGACCTAATGAAACTTTAAAGCTTTTGCAGAGCAAATGAAACCATAAACAAGATAAAAAGACAACCCTCAGAATGGGAGAAAATTTTTGCAAATGAAGCAACTGACAAATGATTAATCTCCAAAATTTACAAGCAGCTCATGCAGCTTAATATCAAGAAAACAAGCAACCCAATCCAAAAATGGGTAGAAGATCTAAATAGACATTTCTCCATAGCAGATATACAGATTGCCAACAAACACATGAAATGATGCCCAACATCACTAATCATTAGAGAAATGCAAGTCAAAACTACAATGAAATATCACCTCACACGAGTCAATATGGCCATCATCAAAAAATCTACCAACAATAAATGCTGGAGAGGGTATGGGGAAAAGGGAATCCTCTTGCACTGTTAGTGGGAATGTAGATTGATAAAGCCACTATGGAGAACAGTATGGAGGTTCCTTAAAAAAGTAAAAATAGAACTACCATACGAGCCAGCAATCCCACTACTGGGCATATACTCTGAGGAAACCATAATTCAAAAAGAGTCATGTACCACAATGTTCATTGCAGCTCTATTTACAATAGCCAGGACATGGAAACAACCTAAGTGTCCAACAACAGATGAATGGATAAAGAAGATGTGGCACATATATACAATGGAATATTACTCAGCCACAAAATAAATGAAATTGAACTATTTGTAGTGAGGTGGATGCACTTAGAATCTGTCATACAGAGTGAAGTAAGTCAGAAAGAGAAAAACAAATTCCGTTTCCTAAAAAATATATATGGAATCCCCCCCTCAAAAAAAAAAATATGTTTCTGATGAACCTAGGGGCAGGACAGGAATAAAGATGCAGACTTAGAGAATGAACTTGAGGAGAATGAGAGGGGGAAGGGTAAGCTGGGACGAAGTGAGAGAGTGGCATGGACATATATACACTACCTAATTTAAAATAGATAGCTAGTGGGAAGCAGCTGCATAGAACAGGGAGATCAGCTCCTTGCTTTGTGACCACCTAGAGGGGTGGGTTAGGGAGGGTGGGAGGGACACACAGAGGGAGAAGATATAGACATATATGTATATTTATAGCTGATTCACTTTGTTATAAAGCAGAAACTAACACACCATTGTAAAGCAATTATATTCAAATAAAGATGTTAAAAAAATAATAATAAAATAAAATAAAATATGGAGACCTGCAGAGGACTTCCTTTCCATCTGTAAAGGATAATGCAAGTGGTCTCAGTTCTGCAGGTGGTGGCATCAGCTTCTTATATCACAGTAAACATTCTTTAATTACTACAGAAACATACCTAATTTTAATTCATCACCTAATTCAATTACATAGCATGTATTTTCTTTCTAAAATTATCCATTATTTTAAAGTATCACATACTAAACTCCATCATGTTTTAACGTATGCTTCTAGGGTAGATTCCATAAGTGTATTAGTCATCATTTCATTTCACATAGAGCCATGGCTGACTGAGTACAAATTGATCTTTGTCCCACTGAAATCTTAAGGGTAGAAGAATAAAATAGGAATATCCTACTTTGCAATGCCACATAATACTCCCTCTAGGTTGCTTTACATTTTGTTTTATGTTCTGTGATTCCTAATGTTGCCTTTAAAAAGGTTTCTGCTCATTATCAGATAATATAAGTTAGTTGTAAAACTGTGGAATTGACAGAAAACTATCATTAACTCCATTGCATATTATATGTACTCATGTATATATATGTGTTCCTCATTATATTTTAGGACTATTCAGTGAAATCAAAATTAAAATGTTTAATATTTACTCTTGCCTCATGAATATATTCCTATTTCATTAAGTATTTTTAAATGTGAATTTTAAGTACTGAATAGTATTTCAATATATAGGTATATCATTATTCATGTAACCAATTCCATATTGGAAAATCAATTTCCATGTATATATTATTATCATTATTATTTTGTAATTAAATGATAACAGAAAAATCAAATTGTAATATTGTGTATCTTTGATGACATTTGAAACACAATATACAGTTTATCTAAGATTCTATAAAACATTATGTCCATTTGACATTGTACATTCCTTTTTGTGATGCTTCCAATTCTCCCACATTTAAACGTTTGGGCTGTTTGCGCTGAACTTAGTCAGATGACTTATACCTTCAACCTCTTTTCTGATGGTCTTCTTTATGCCTTTGCTATAACTGAAACCTGGCTCTTCCTCAATGACATTCCCTCCTGTAAAATATTGTTAATTATTTTTCATTCAACATCTCTCTTACCATTGGGTCTGGAGATGGAATCATTGTTCTCCTTATTGCTTCCAGACTATTCTCCTTCCTTGCTTCCTAGAAGTGCCCTCCTTATAGTAATTGTTAACTGATCCCCAAATCACAATTGTCCACTCCTTAATTTTAACTTCTGTTTCACCACCATGATCTCCAACACCCCTGACATAACTCTTGTTGATTTCTCATGCAATGTAGATGCCATTTTCAATAATATGACCAACAAGCTTCCTTTCTTCCAATGTATAGTCAAATGTGAAGAGCTCAGAATTTTGATAAGATTTTCTAGTTCCAAAACCTACCTCCACCATGATGTAGTTGTGTGTCCTTGGGTACATTACTTAACCTCTACGTGTCTCAATTCCTTCATCTGTATAATAGATGCATCTAACTCAGAGCTTATGTTTTTATATGTTATACTAGTGGTGTCCAGTGTGTAGTACATTTAATAAAGTTGTTGCATTTAATTAAAATGTTTCACATTTTGCTTTCCTATCCAAACCACTTAAACCAGTGGTCATACTCTGTTTCATTAATGATATTTTAACCCTCCATAATCTCAGTTTTAAGACTCTCACTCTCCAACCATCACAAACTTCTTTTTCCACTCATTGCCTGTAGTAACAACTCCACAGTTCTCTGTGCCAACTCAAATCCTTGGGTCTATTGCTTTGCTCTGTCACTCACCATTTCTATGTCCTAACTTCTCGACCTACTCATTTAAATTTCCCAGGGTCAGCATTAAAATCAATCTAGCGGTTTCTCCCACTATTTCTTTGCCTCTCTCAAGTCCTCATACTTACCTGGCAAAATACAAACCTTAGTAAACA